CAAACGACAATATCGCGAATGTCTATCTTTAAGTGCATCGTTGTAGTAAATGAAACATGAAAATACATATTCCCGCGAACGTGCAATTTTATAAGAGTTTTACTGCGTACGAAGGGAAATAATATTTCCGTTTAACTTCTATTAGATCGAAAAATTTGACAAATTGGAAACTATAGATGTGGATGGTTCTTTCTATGTATAATACATGGCTATTATGGTAAATAATGTGCAACATAGGAAACTTTATATCACCAAAAGTTTTAGAGGGATCAAATTGTATAAATTAAAAATAAAAAAACAAAAAATTATTTCGATTTTGATGTAACTATGCCCTTTTATCATATCATTTATCATATCAGTTTTAAATACCCTCAGGATGCCTAATCTAAGCAGAAAAAATAAAACAGTGGAAATACACAATGTCTACGGACTTTATCGTGTGTCTAGTGACCAACTTAACCCCAATCAGTGAGTTGTAGGATTTAGAAGTTTGGATGATTGACTGCATGTTTAAATATGATTATTTAAACTTAAATACATGTTTGATTGTCACGAATTTGTTAATATTTCAGTTAATCTAAACGTATTTCATACAATTCTTCGACTGAACGCTCCAAATCGTAGAGAGCATATCAAAATCATTGACGAACATAGATCTTATTTGCAATCTTATCGTAATATCATAAGGTTAGATAAATCAAAATAAAACATAATTGCAAATCATTTACCAAAAAGATCACATCAGCCGAAAGGTGACATCGAATTTGTTGAAGTCGTCACATTTTCCAATTTAATACTGATTTTCAAATCACATACAAACAGAAATTATTGCTATACGTTCGCTCCACGATTCAAAAAGCAGAATTCAAAGATGACGTAGAAAAACGCTACGGTTTCGCTACCTCGTGGCTGCACTCTTCAACAGTGGCTATCTTTATACTACTGAATTGTCGCCACCGACTTCACATCCTATTTTACCGTCCGAGTCGAACGCTTAACCCGTCATTGTTGACAGTTTTCAGAGAAAGCTTCACGCAGCTGTTACGAGAAACAAACGCTCTTCCTCGTTACAGCTTTTCGCTTGTTTATATACGTGTATTACATATTTATAGTTTTGTTCGTAGGTGATCACAGAATTTCATCAAATAAACGTAATTGTCCACGAATTTTCGCTCGTACAGAAATTCACCATTGAACGGACAAAATGAGGTATTTATCGTAAAAGCGACTTTCTTTATTCTCGTGTCTCTACGTTTTTGTTCTCTACATCTCATTGTAATTTTTATACATAATTTCCAATTTCCATCTGTTTACCTGGGTAATCTTATTTATTTTTGACAAATCGCCAATCGTTCCATTGCCGTGAAAGTCGTGAACGGAACAGTGTTAAATAGATAGAGGGAGAAACAGGCGGGAATCAGAAAACATAACAGTAACTGTCATACAAGAGTCGCCATTTTCCCTACGTTTTCTCTTCAAAAGTAGGCTTCGTATTATTAATTATTGTATATCTTCCCTGACGCGTTAAATATATCGTTAATCGTCTGTTAATCCCAATCCTTTTACAATAATTTTTCATTACTTCCTGTATTAGAGATTTTGATAAAGATATTATAAATATGTATAAGAAAGGAGTTCTAAATATATGTATACGTGGCTTTTATGATAAATATAGACGCTTATATATTACTGATAGATGATTAATTATTCTAATCTTATCGAATGCTTCTTTCCTCTTGTGAAGTTTAGATTACATACAGATTCTTTTATTGTATTTTGTGCGATAGATATTAATTGAAATATTATTATCTGAAGTAAAAGGTTATATTTTGAATTGCGTTATAATAAAATGGCGTCCCTTCATTACACAAAGAGGTATTCTATAGTCCAAGTATTATTGTAACAGATGTCAATGAATTATAATATTTCTCAGTTGATTCTTATGTTTGAATATTTTATACGTATGTTTTTTTTTATCTTATCAAGTTTTGCAAATTCCACGGAATACCAATGCATTCATTGCTTTATATTTCGTAGTTGTATTTATTTTAATTGCACACAAAATCGTTAAAGCTTAAAATAGAATATATCTAATAAACGTAATACGCTAGTTCAGTATCAGTCTTTGCTGTTAATATGGTGATTGTGCTTTGTATATTAATCATATCTATATTTTAGATAATATTGTTTTAGTGACTTTAATAAAATATTGTTTTATAGTGGTAGACAAATGACGATGAATGGGAAAAGACCATCCTCAATCCCGTCCAGACATCAGTCTGAAACTGCAGCACAACATTTTGATCTAATTAAATATATTTATGATTGTAGGTATCATATATCACTTTTTCTTAATACTCGTAAATAAAGTTCGTTTATTATTAAGCTTTTTTTATTTCTGTTTACAGCATGGAATACAGTATCAAAAGAATTAGATATGTGTCACAATCAACCGCACAGTAATTCTTCTAATTATAGAAATGGAGCATCTGTCACATATTATCAAGAACGAGAACCAAATCCTCAACTCAAAGGTAAGTTGTAGTCTTGTTGCATATGTCAGTTTTCATCTGTTCTTTTCATATGTTAATTTAACCTAATTACTATTTTATCTGTCATCTTAGATTTTGAGCCATTTAACCTTGAAGCCTGGTGGGGACAGCGTGTTGTTCAAAGTATTACTAGAAACGCAAATTCCTAGTGCCAGGCCCGACATATTGATTATAATCGAACATTCTCAAGTAGACATAAGAAACAGAAAGAATAAATTCAGTGCTGCCGGAGAAAATTTTTCCATTTCTAGAAAGGATTTATTATATACTCAAAGATAAGTGACACGAAGAGAGTAGTATAGGTATAAATAAGTATCTAGCAATCAATTTTGAATCTTTTTGATAACAAAGATAGGATATTAGCAAATAATCAAAGATGAAGATGAAAGAAAAAGAAAGGGAAAGAGCAGGGTTATGGAAACATACATATTAGTATGAATATGACATTCCTCTAATCTTTTATCATATTTTAACATAATATCGCCTTTTCCTGAACCTTTTTACTCGTCGTGTTTTTAAAAGTATTTTACATAAAAAATTGCAATTAAGCTGTTTCTAAAAATGTCTTTCTAAGATTTGAGATTCAGCATGATGAATAATTCTGAAATACAGTGCATGCTAAAACTATTTATTTTATTTGCCAACATAAGGCAAACATATAATTGTAAGTTTATATTATAAATCAAATTTTCATTATTACATAATGAAAACGTGAGAGTAATCTTTCCATCTTTGTAATTAAAAACTTACATATGAAATGCTGAATCAAGAGCACATGAATTATATATTAATTCTATATATTTTGATCGAAGGAAATGTATGAGAGGAGAAGTTGGACTACCTTTTAAGGCTTATGCATATATTGCATATATGTATTTTTCCACGAATTGCATTTCACAATTTTTAATAAATTTTTCCATTTACAAACGTGTAATGAAATCGCACTTCAATGTAAGAAAAAAAAGTAAACAGGATAAATGTTTTGAGATTCTCTAAAAGAAAGTTTATTCACGTACGAGGACGTAGTAAAGTGCACCGCTATTGAAGATGAAAACAAATAAGTATTTAATTCGTACTCAAAATAATGTGATAATTATTACGATTTTAAATACAATTAAATCGATGCAATTATGTACATTTATTATGTATGTATGTATATGTAATGTACATCTATGCGTGTATAGATATATATTATAATATGTAAGATTCAACTCGTAACATTTTTAATAATAAGCACCCGTAACTATTAAAGTTTTTCTAAACTTGTGGACATCTTTACCAATTACTTCTAGTGGTATTTTTTTATGTACAATTGAATAGGAAAAGTATTATTATAATTATAATGAGGAATCTAGTTCGATACTGTTACATGTTACAAAGATCGTTATAATGTTAGAGATTCGTGCACTTGAAAGAAAAATAAGAGTCGCTATGCATAGTACTATTGAGTCAATGCCTTCATATAGTTTAATATCTCGTTATTTCCAAGCAAATGCGAGTCCTTATCGACCATCGTTTCAACTTGATTTAATGCGTTGAGTTTTAAGGTCTTAACGATTCGTTCCAAATTATAGAGACTTCTTTCTATCGCACGTTTCTCACTATTAAGCATCTATATTTAATTGAAGAGTCAAATTGAAATTTTGTACCAATTGCTCTGACGAAATTGATGTACGTTTTTTCAATTGTATTGTACGAAATATAGTATAAGAATAAACAATTCAGTGTTTTAGTTTTCACTTTTATGACTTCCGTATGTTAATCGAATTTATAATAAGATTAATTATAATATTAACGAGATACTATACTCGAATGATGTATTTATGTAAAAAAATCAGTATTCATAAAACATATAAATAATTCTTTTAAGTATTATTATAAATTTAAATTTTATTTTTTTTGTATTTTTTATAAGAAGCAGTGTAATATTTATTCTTAGTAAATAAATCCAATGTCGAAATGTGCAGTTCAAAGTAGAGAAGGTAGAAATTTCTTTACTCACCATAGCGCCACTGTTTAAACGAGAAAATGAATTTACTCCAGTAATTGCCGTTTGTGCGAAGTTGTTGGAAGTTTTCGTTTTCGTAGTTTGCGTGCTGCACGATACACCGGTTTGTTTGACGATCACAATTGCGTGTATATTTTTTAACAATATCAACATTCTATCCATCGATGTTACCGAATAGTCGGTTTCGTTATCCACAAACTCCAATCTAACCACTTCTTCGCTGTTATTTAACGAAACTGGATATTTAATTTTCATCTCTCGATCGATTGACAATTTGAACACGTACTCTTCGTATACCACGCCATTCGAATGGGATTCGATGCACAATAGCCTGCCGCGCTTATCGATTATCGTACGTTCGATATCGAATTGCTTATTTCGATTATCGTTCTTGTACGCGTCAGTTATTTCGCGCGTTACAGTTTCGCCGCGTTCGTTGTGTTTCATCGCGTTGCAAGAGTTATGATTTTCGTGAATTGACGAGTTTATCGAATTTTCCTTCGTGTTTTCCTTCAACACTGGCGCGTTCGATAAGTTTCCATTATGATTCCGGGAATTTATTTCGCTTTCAAGGGATTCGTGTCGTTCCTCATTTTCTTTCTCCGGGATATCGTTGTGCGTTTGGCTGAGCATCTGAAACTTTATAACGAATTCTCACGGAAATATCGCCAAGTGTAATGTGAAAACCTGTGTAAAATTTAAGCGAAATCGATTATATGTAGAAGTAGTATAATGTGATTACGAGTTTCCTGTTCGAACGATTTATGGAGGCGTCTCACGAAATATAGAATTCGAACGAAATTACGGAAAATTTGGAAATTCCGTTTAATAAGTTTTACAGAGTAAAGGTAAGTAAAATTGATGTTTTTCTATAAACTTTTCTGAGCATGTTCGAAATATCAATCTTTGCAAGTCTTACGTTATTACGTTTTTCTCAAGTGGATACGCTTATTTACGGTTATGCGTGTTACATCGGGTTCACGTAAAATTTACGATCAAAAGGGATTTCATATGGAAAGCAATGGGCATAATTTCTCGATACTATTATTTTATAGCTCGTATTATCGATACTAAAGGAGTCATTCTCGTGTTACTTTTTATTGTATTCGTAAAATACGAATTTTTATATTTTATTAATACTTTTCATTCGTGACGTGTATTTTCCTTACTTTTTAATTTACGAAATAATTCATAATAGTTCCACATGTAGAAATATGTGTCGTTAGTAATTTTAATTAGATAATGGAAAGAAACAGAAACAATGTTTTTGGTTTAATTTCTATCTCGAGTTTCGACATATTTTCCTACCCCTTTAATTTTAAGTAACCTAATTAAGCGTTCTACCGTGGTGGACTGTTTTGAATATTTTAAACTGTTCATATACATTTACCACGTTAGTGTAAACCAAATGTTTGCCTCCTTTTACAACATTTTGTGGTTGTCGCTTGTTACGCGATAAAGTCTGCACTAAAGCATAAAATAATAGAAGTGGCTTGACAAAAGTAGAACCGCGGTATTGTTTGGAAAAAAAACGAGTACGTGCAGAAACATTGATTCGATAAAATTTCGAACAAGTCGTACGTATGCAATCGTATAACGCATCCTTTATGCAAATCTAAATTGACTTTCACGGAACATGGAAATGGTTTTGTTCTACCATGATGTATATCGATCGAAATATTTTGTATCCAATTGTACCGAAGTGAACAGATGAAATCTATTGTGTGTTCTTCCGTTTGATGAAAAAATGTATATCTATGCAGGGAAAAAAAGGAAGGTCGAAAGCTATTAACTTTCATGTTCCGTGTAGAGAAAATAGTAGATTGAATAATATGTAGTTATAATGGAAAAGATTATATGCTGGATTAGCGTAAGCCAAAATTACAGCGTACAAAGCCTAAATTTCTTCTTACGCTTATTATAATTATCTTTGGACCTTGCAGATTGTTTCCATTTTCGACTATGTCATATTATAATAAAATACTATGCTTTTTAGTCACAAAAGAACATTAAAAGTGTACGTATCATGTTTTTCTCCTGTAATCTTCATTTCGTTATTTTAATCATAGCTGCAGCTATACCAGAATTCACAACTAAAGAAATAGCTAGTATTGCAATTTCCATTAAACGTATCGATGAATTCTTACCTTCCTTTTAAGATTCTTTACTACCTGCCTCAAAACGGAATTCTGTTCCCTTAATAAAACCAGTTGCGGTTCATCCTTTCTGTCTTTCACCATCCAAGCTAGATGCCTGAGATTCTTCATGCTTTCTTCGAATAAGTTTCCCCGTTCGGTCAAGTTCTTCAAAGCTGTACAGGAACGGATACTTATACGATGGAATCTGGAAGTGGTGGATAATACTTACCTTCCGCTGTAAGTTGACAGACAGAGCCGACATCCACGTCGAAACGTTTTAAAGTTTCAAGTAGATTCGCCAGCTCAAAACCTCGGTTTTCCTGCTCCCTTCCAAAACCCTCGTACATTTCTACACGTTTCTCTAATCGGGTCACCTATTAAAAGAAAATTCAATGTCTCGAAACAGAACGTTATTGCTTTCTACCCGAGTGGAAATCGATTTAAACTTTTCACTAGATTTTAACGTTTTCAACGTTTCAAATATTTCGTCTTGATTACTCGGTTGTTCGTTCTTTTACGTGGCTGTAATTTATTATAGAACAAGTTGACCAATACCGATGAATAATAAATGATAACTAGACCGTGGATTTTTATACAAATTCATATAACGATTAAAAGAATACGACGTAGAGAAGAAATTATGATAGGAAATAGTTTACCTATTAAATATTAGAAGAACGTGCATTCTATGCACGTTTGTATTTTTAAGTTTCTTATAATCGTATAAAAATACGCAACCGAAGAATAAAAATAATTAAAAAATACTTTAGACGAAAGAGACGATGGTCATAGCGACGCTTCCCTTCTTCTAATTTCGGTTTCATTTCAATTTCATTTTGTAGTATTATAACCATTCGGGAAGACCTGTATAATTGCCAATGAATTTCACAGAGCAATCGCAATTTGAAACGAATCTTTTTTCATAACCGAATTGTGCCGCGCGAAAATTCCTATTAACAGTACATCGTTAACTTCGTCGGCATTATAATTCTGTATAATTAAAATTGCGTATTATAAGCGTATTCGTTTCACAATTCTGATATTCCAGAAATAATTGTTTCTAATCGATGAAATTTCCGGAGCTTCCTGCAATTAGATTGGAATTACTATTTTGCCTGGAAATTAAAGAGCGAGAAACAACTTGCCTAGCAACTCCAATTATTGTTCCGTAATTTTACGATGCGGTATCTTTCATTAATGAACCATTAACGATTTAACAACCCTCGTAGTGACGCCCTTTAGTTTCCACGACTTAACGCGTTGGCACCGTCTCACTTTCGAGAGGACGAGATTAATGCGTGCGATCGTAAAACCTCCGTGTCAACTTCGTTTTGCTTAAGTAAATACAAAAATCAATGCCATAGATATAGAGAAGAAAGTGAGAAGATTGCATAATAAGATGAGATACTTTTGATATTAATCCCGGAAAACGGAATTCCTTGAATTAAGAGAAATATTACGTAGATGGTTCGGTCTAAAACACGATTGAGCCAGATAACATAAAAGCTACAAATAGAATTATCGAATTGTAACTGTAGATTGATATAGCGCGACGCTATAAAGCAGAAACTGAATTAAGAACTATATGTCCTGATTTTCATCTATTTTGGGGGCGATTTAACTTACGCGAAAAAATGACGGGATCGTCGAGACGTTAGGAAGTAAAATAGAGTGACGCGATAATTCACGTTGTAAATTCAAGTTGGAAAGTTAAATTTGGCTTTGATGTTTATTCCACACACGATGTAGACACAGTGGTAAGAACTTTGCGGGTCAAGTAAGAATTTGAGATCAACGAAATTTGCGAAAACACGAGACACCGAAGACTAAAGTATCTGTAGCTTTTGTTTCGCAATCAGAAAGACAATAAGTTGTTCGAAAGGAAATTGCTTAAAAATTGATTGTTTGTACTGGTTGGCGAAGCTTTATTGAGAAACGTGTTGATTAATACAGACGGTCAGGTGTAATTTTCTCTCTTTCTTCCCGTCTCTCTATCTGTGTCAGAGATAAAGGTTATTGCATTTGACGTGCTCCCTACAGAAATTACGAAAGACCTTCGGCTGACGTGCTTTCGACGGCAAAGAAAATACACTCTGAAATTCCTCGAAATTCTTGCCAACGAAATTCTCTTCCCCACAGGGAGATTCTCTTCAAAAGGTGCTCGAACAGTTTGCGCGATAAACTAGAAACAACACGATGAATTTAACATTTTTTGCACGAACGTTTATTATATTCTACGTGCTAGAAACATACTCGAGAATAATTAAATAATTACGTTGAATGAACCAAAGATGTGGAAACTCAGCTCTGGAATATTTTTTTTATCGTAGGTGCAAATAAAATATAAATATTTATATTTTTGGAATTAAATAGCAGAGATATTCCACGTAATCGTCAAATGAGGAACAGCGGAGGAAACGGTGGAATAAAGGGCAGTAATTAAAGTAGTTTAAAGTAATTTAAGGGCTTAGAGGCGTGTACCCGACTCACTTGAAACTCGAGGTCCACTCGGACACTGCATATTCAAGAGGCAACGGAAAGGGTGACAACTTCGATTTCGCGTATCAAAAAGGCGATGGTTCAAAGGGCACACATTTTACGATGCACTGCCTGTAAAAAGGCTGGCTACAACGCCGGACTGAATGCATATCAATTAAAAAAGTGCTTTGATGTTGGTTTACGGTGCATGTTGCATCGCTATTGCACCCGGAACTTTCTCAGCTTCTATAGGGGCCGTTAAGGAAAATTCGAATATTTCTTGCCGTGTGAGGAAAAATAAAACATAACGCAAAATATTGTTAGGGAACTTAGAAAATTAACTTTCGTTACCTAAGTTATGCATCGAAGCGAATATCTTTCTTTGCTTGCAAACGATGTAAAACTTCTATCATTTCCATGGTGTGTATATTAAATTTGTTTTTACTTTTCATTTGAGAAATCCACCACGTTACTAACGAAAGTTTTAATAAGTTTTCTTTTCAAATACCTTTTCTTTAGCTTCATTGTAAAGTTCGACTACCTCGTGAAATTGTTTTTCCGCAGTTTCTCGGCTCATCTCCAAAATATCCTCGCATTCTCGTTTAACTAGCGCCACTGTATTCTCGCATTCGATTTTATCTCTGAAAACAAATCGATTAATCTATATAAATTGCCTTAACCATGGACCAAACGATTGGAGTAATTTATTCTCTGATTCAGTCCATACCAATTGCAAATTTGCTTCTATTATGCTTCGGCTGTACACACAATATACATCTACTGTTATATACCTATAACAATATACACATCAGGTATATATAATACAATTTAGGCGTTTACAGTGGGCAAACAGTTTTTATAAAAACTAGACGACGAGAAGGCTCAAGTTTATAGGAAATCGATTTTTTAATACATTCGTAAAATTTTTTATGATCCAATACTAGTACTATTCGAGTACTATCCGAACTCTGCATCTTCAATTTTCTTGTTCTCCTACCTACTTTACTTTACTTCGTGCGATACAATCTTTAAAATCTTATTTCGAATGTGACTGTGATTCGATTTAATTTACAAGCAATTTTATTATTGATTTATTATTAATATTCTTATAAGATTTTATAAAGAAAGCTTTTATCATATTTAATTGGAAAGGTAGTGTTATAATTAGCGAAAAATTATATCCATTCTGATTTGATATTTTATTCGCTATGCGTTATTATTTAATAACGTAG